GTCCTCTTTTGGAAGGCCAAACAAAGTAGTTTTGCTTTCACAACGAAACACACAGCGTCACACACGGCGGGCTTGAATGAGCGGAGGCCGGCGGCCTAGAGTGAGCAGCGGCCGGCAGGCTAGAGTGAGGAACGGCCGGCGGATTCGATGAAGGAGCGGCCGGTGGGCTTGCGGCAACCACATGTGACGACCCCGGGCTGGACTCAGTCTTTGCAACTTTACAGATCTTCTTTATGCAGCAAGAGCTTGTAACACTTCAAAGAGAAAGGAAAAATTGAAATCGCATCATATGACCCCTTTAATTCACTGCACGAACCAATGGCCGTGCAGTTACACTGCGTTATTGAAAAGGCTTCAGTATTTGGAGAAAAAGGAGTTTTCCCCATAGTGTCTTAGCAGATGCAGTACTCATTCCCATATCTCAGGGAACCGAGGTTACGTTAGTAACCGAGTACGTTTTTATGGCTGAATTCTATCTGCGTTTTTCGCATCACGGGAATCATAGGGCCCTATAATTGTAAGGGACAATGTACAAAATTTTGCATTTTTGAATAACTTCCAAAAACAAAAATACAAATAAAAAATATATACTGAAACATATAGCATCATGTCTAATTCATTCCTTTAACAGTAGATCATCCTTAGTAAGAGTACTTCTTTTACCGAATGTTTTAATGCCAACTGTTGTTAGTGTTTTTTAGGTCTTTGTTTTATAGATGACCAAGTGTGTGTGTTTGTTGACTGACAACCTTTGCAAGTGTTATGAAATAATGAGGTGGTCCGACACATGTATGAAATGTTTTGATAATTTTAGTGCATTTTGAATGTGAAATGAACTGCTGTGCCAATCTGAAAGCTGGTTAGGAGAAATGTGTGAAGAGTTTTGCAAAAGTCACAGAAGTTTTGAAAAATGTGTCCTGGCAATTGTAAAAAACAAACAAACTGTAAGATGGTTTAGATCCTGCCTGTCTGACCATTACTATGTGGAATCATCTCAATTGAGACCAGTAAAGTATGGAGTGCCACAAGGACCTGTCATAGGCCCTCTTCTATTTTCAATATACATGACATCCCTTGGCAATATTATAAGAAAACATGGGATTAGTTTCCATTGTTATGCTGATGATACTCAACTATTTATTTCAACAAGATGAGACTACTAAATTATCTAAGCTAACAAAGCGTGTTAAAGTTGTAAAGGACTGTATGACCAATAATTTTCTCAGATTAAATTCAGATAAGACAGAGATATTACTTATTGGACCAAAAACAATACAAAAAAACTCTTAGATTACAATTTGCATCTAAAAGATGCAGAAAAGCTAGTTCATGCATTCATGACCTTAAGACTGGGCTATTGTAATGCACTGCTAGGTGGTTTTCCTGCATCTTCAATAAATAAGCTACAGTGCCGTGAAAAGGTTTTTGCCCCCTTCCTGTTTTTTTTTGTTTGTTTTTTTTTGCATATTTGTCACACTTAAAATATTCAGATCATCAAACAAGTATTAATATTACACAAAGATAACCCGAGTAAATACAAAATGCAGTTTTGAAATAATGATTTCATTTATTAAGGGAAAAATGTTGTCCAAACTTGCTTGGCCCTACGTAAAAAAGTAATTGCCCCCTAAATCTAATAACTGGTTGTGCCACCCTTGGCAGCAACTACTGCAATAAAATGTTTGTCATAACTGGCAATGAGTGTTTCACATCGCTGTGGAGGAATTTTGGCCCACTCTTCTTTGCAGAATTGTTTTAATTCAGCCACATTGGAGGGTTTTCGAGCATGAAAGGACTTTTTAAGGTCATGCCACAGCATCTCAATTGGATTTAAGTCCGGACATTGACTTGGCCACTCCAAAACCTTAATTTAGTTTTTCTTGAGCCATTCAGAGAAACACTTTCATGAACACCGTGATTGAGGCCTGCAGTTCTTTAGATGTTGTTTTGGGTTCTTTTATGACCTCCTGGATGAGTCGTTGTTGCGCTCTTGGAGTAATTTTGGTAGGCCGGCCACTCCTGGGAAGGTTCACCACTGTTCCAAGTTTTCTCCATTTGTGGATAATGGCTCTGACCGTGGTTCGCTGGAGTCCCAAAGCCTTAGAAATGGCTTTATAACCCTTTCCAGACTGATACGTCAACTATTTTGTTTCTCATCTGTTCTTGAATTTCTTTAGATCGCGGCATAATGTGTTGCTCTTTAAGCATGCTTCACTTTGTCAGACAGGTTCTATTTAAGTGATTTCTTGATTCAACAGGTCTGGCAGTAATCAGTCCTGGGTGTGGCTAGTGAAATTTAACTCAAAGCTTTTTTAGAATAATGCGGTTAATCACAGTTCTTTCATGATTTAATGAATGCCAGGCCAAAGAAGATGCTTACAGGAATGGGAACAGAGTCTTGTGTAAACAGGCCAAATACACACTGGAAAAGGAGATCAGAGTGGCAAAGAGGAATTATTCTGAAAAGCTAAGGATCCAGTTCTCTTCCAATGACACAGCTTCAGTGTGGAAAGGTCTGAAAGACGTCACCAACTACAAGACACCATCCCTGTGTCGACTGTGGAGAATCAACATCTGGCAGATGATCTGAATGAGTTCTATTGCAGGTTTGAAAAAAACACCATTAACACCTCTTGCAACCCCCCCTCCCCCACTCCTGCACTTCAGATCAGTGAAGATGTGTATCAGGTCTTCAAAAAAAAACAAGAGAAGAAAGGCACCAGGCCCAGACGGTGTCGCACCAGCCTGTCTGAAAACCTGTGCTGACCAGCTGGCCCCCATCTTCTCACAGATCTTCAACACTGGAGCTGTGTGAAGTCCCTTCCTGCTTCAAACACTCCACCATCATCCCCATCCCAAACAAACCCAAAATTACTGGACTTTATGACTGACCTGTAGCTCTAATATCTGTGACCATGAAGTCATTTGAAAAACTGGTGCTGGCTTAACTGAAGGACATCACTGGACCCCCTGCAGGTCTGTGGATGATGCAGTCAACATGGGATTGCACTACATCCTGCAGCATCTGGAAAGACCAGGGACTTATATGAGGATCCTGTTTGTGGACTTCAGCTCGGCTTTTAACAGTATCATTCCAAACCTCCTCCTGCCCAAATTAACTCAGCTATCTGTGCCCACCTCCGTCTGTCAATGGATCACCAGCTTCCTGACAGACAGGCAGCAGCTAGTAAAGCTGGGAAAATTCTCATCCAGCACCCGTACGATCAGCACTGGCGCCCCCCAGGGCTGTGTTCTCTCCTCACTGTTTTGCTCCCTGTACACAAGTGACTGCACTTCAAAGGACCCCTGTCAAGCTCCTGAAGTTTGCAGACAACACCACACTCATCGGCCTCATTCAGGATGGTGACGAGTCTGCTTACAGACAGGAGGTTTAAAGAGCTGGCTGTCTGCTGCAGTCTTAACAACCTGGAGCTCAACACACTCAAAACAGTGGAGATGGTAGTGGACACCCCTGCTCTCTCACCATCATGGACAGCACTGTAATAAGAGTGGAGTCATTCAGACTCCTGGGCAACACCATCTCTCAGGACCTGAAGTGGGACACTCACATTGACTCCATTGTGAAAAAGGCCCAGCAGAGGTAGTACTTCCTTTGCCAACTGAGGAAGCTCAACCTGCCACAGGAGCTGCTGAAACAGTTCTACTCTGCCATCATTGAATCCGTCCTCGGCACTTCAATAACTGTCTGGTTCAGCTCAGCTACCAAATCTGACCTCAGAAGACTACTTTGGATAGTCCAGACTGCTGAGCGAATCATTGGTACAACCCTCCCTACTCTCCAAGAACTGTACTCATCCAGAGTGAGCAAAAGGGCTAGGAAAATCACTCTGGATCCCTCACATCCAGCACACACTCTCTACAAACTGTTGCCATCTGGTCGACGCTACAGAGCACTGAGCACCAGAACGGCCAGACACAGGAACAGTTTCTTCCCTCAGGCAATCCATCTGTGAATTGGGGTAGTAGTGTTAGTAGCTTCCAAATGGGACATGTAATGTATGAATTGTCAGAAATGGAAAAGTCAGATTCAGTTTCATATCAAATTGTTTATATTTGTTTTGAGAATTTTCACAACGACATTTCCGGTGTATCTGTGGGTGTGATGAATATGGTCTTCTATCAGAGTGAATATGCAGGTAATTTCTGAATCTGTTGTATTTCATAAGCCTTATGCCTCAATGAGGAACAGTACAATTTTATTCCAGAACAAGTCAGCAAATGACATTTCAAGTCTGTTTGATATGCAAAACCTTTTCACACTGAAGGTATGTGAAAGGCCTCTCTACAGTGTGAGGTCTCATGTGAATGGTAATGTTTGCTTTAAGTGTGAATCTTATACCACACTAAGGCCAGATGAAAGGCTTCATTCTAGTGTGAACTCTCAAGTGAACCTCAAGGATTGATTTGTTTATGCAAGTCTTCCCACGGTGATGGCACATGAAAAGCCTCTATCTAATGTGAATTTTTCTCATGATTCTTAAGCTGATTTCTGTCTCTGAAACCCTTTCCACACTTATGACATTTAATTCAATTTTCTGTTGAGTGAATTCTCGTGTGGTTATTAAGGGTAAATTTATATCTGAAACTCTTTCCACATTGATCACATATGAATGGCTTCTCTCCAGTGTGAATTCTCATGTGGGATTTAAGGTTTTTCTTATGTGGAAAACCCTTTCCACACTGAAGGCATATAAAAGGCTGCTCTCCAGTGTGAACTCTCATATGGACTTTGAGGCTTCCTTTTCGAGTAAAAGTTTTTCCACACTGTTGACAGGTGAAAGGGCTCTCTCCGCTGTGAACTCTCATGTGAACTTTTAGATTTCCTTTTAGGTTGAAACTCCTTCCACACTGATTACACACGAATGGCTTCTCTCCAGTGTGAATTATCATGTGGTTTCTAAGGTTTCCTTGTTGATCAAAACTTTTTCCACACTGTTGGCAGTTAAAAGAGCTCTCTCCAGTGTGAATTCTCATGTGAATTTTAAAGTTACTAGATTGATTGAAACTTTTTCCACACTGTTGGCAAGTGTAAGGCTTCACTCCAGTGTGAATTCTCATGTGATCTCGAAGATTTCCTTTTCGGCTAAAACTCTTTCCACACTGAGGGCATGTGTAAGGCTTCTCTCCAGTGTGAATTCTCATGTGATCTTTAAGGTTTCCTTTTTTGCTAAATCTTTTTCCACACTGCAGGCATGTGGAAGAGCTCTCTTTAGTATGAGCTGTCATGTGGAATATAAAGTTTGTTTTTCTGTTAAAACATTTTCCACACTGCTGGCAGGTGAAAGAGCTCTCTCCAGTGTGAACTCTCATGTGGACTTTAAGGTGTGCTTTTTGAGTAAAACACTTTCCACACTCTTGGCAGGTGAAAGGCTTCTCTCCAGAATGAATTCTCAGATGGACTGTAAGGTTTGCATGTTGATTGAAATACTTTCCACAATGACAGCAGATTAACGGAGGCAGAGCCCGTAACTTTCGGGGTCTCTTTTCAGGCTGTGAGCAACATTTTTCTCCAGGTATAGAATCATGATGCTTCTCAAACGGATGTTTCTCTTCCATTTCATTCAGTAAATTATACTCCTCTTTCAGCGGCATCAGATCTAAGGTGAAAAGAGACAAATAAAAGCCATTAAACACGCTATATTCTGGGGTATATTCTGCTTGTCTGTAAACGGTATGCTTTATTAATAAGGGGTGTATCTGCACTTGTTCCTCCAAACTGTTTTAAGCCCATTCATTTTAGAATATCCCGCATAGGCCTACACTTAACAATTCATTAGACCACTAGCTTGTCGTGTCAAACCAATATAAAGTCGTTAAGTCATAATTTTGACTTTTAAATTCATAATTTCAACTTTTTCCAACTCATAATTTCGACTTAGTGTGTCATAAGTTTCAACTTTTTTTCTCGTACTTATGACTTAAAGGGGTGGTTGACTGCTTTTTGTCTAGGCTTGATTGTGTTTATGGGGTGCAGTCTAACACGCTTCATTTAAAAAAAAAAAAACGCATTCTTTTTCACATAATTTACCTTTATTCTCCACCGCACTGTTATTTCTCTCATGAACACTCTGATGATTTCCTGGTTTTATGAAGCCCCTCCCTCAGAAATACGCAATGGGCTCAGATTGGTTAGCTGACCCAGTGTGTTGTGATTCACTATACCACCTAGTGCACTTCCAGAAATGTCACACCCCTCACCTCAGTGGCATGTGCTCCGGTTGTATTGTAAACAATGGCGTCATCAATATTGCTTATCAATTTGAGCTCGATTGAGACCCAGAGAATATTAGTGAAGAGGATTGTGCAGAACCTGTGCAAGCACAACTCTTGCAGGACGTTTCAGAATGGTGTTTTTTTTTTTGTTTGTTATTGTCTCATACTTCTAGATATGCTGTTATTTGTAAATGCTACTGCTAGTATGCGGATGTGCACATCGCGATATCGATGCTGAAACGATATATCGTGCAGCCCTAGTGTCTAAGTGTGACGTTTAGCATTCAGTGAATTCTGACTGTCACCCTGTATCTATTTATATATTTCTTTATTAATATCTTAATATATTATTATATCTTATATTAACCATTTGCACACACGAACATTATCTGCTCCGCTCCTCCCGACCGCAGACGCAGGTTTACATGCCACTTTTTCCTGCGTTTCTCAGTCAATGGGTTAAAGCAAAAAAAAATCCTGAGCCTGAACTTTTTCCCGGGGGCGGGGCGGGGCAGCCCATTCCAAGCATGCAATGCCTG